TACTATTACTATTACTATTACTATTACTATTACTATTACTATTACTATTACTATTACTATTACTATTACTATTACTATTACTATTACTATTACTATTACTATTACTATTACTATTACTATTACTATTACTATTACTATTACTATTACTATTACTATTACTATTACTATTACTATTACTATTACTATTACTATTACTATTACTATTACTATTACTATTACTATTACTATTACTATTACTATTACTATTACTATTACTATTACTATTACTATTACTATTACTATTACTATTACTATTACTATTACTATTACTATTACTATTACTATTACTATTACTATTACTATTACTATTACTATTACTATTACTATTACTATTACTATTACTATTACTATTACTATTACTATTACTATTACTATTACTATTACTATTACTATTATATAATTATGGAAAGAGGGTATATTTGATTGAATAAAAATATGATCTAGACAGGTTTTTGAGTTCCCTTTTACCCTAGTTGGACTGTTTATGGCAGACATGAGGCCTTGTTCGTTCATTATACAAAGATATTCGTTAGTGATGTTATTTTCTTCTAAGAGGTTAATATTTAAGTCGCCTAGGGAACGTGGTAGGTACTACTAATTTGATTTTGTTGAAAGTATTGTTGCAAATGTTGTAGAAATTGTTCAGGGTTCAAGGATGGAGATCGGTAATATGCACTTAAAAGGACAGTCGTGTCATCTAGCTTGTTTAAATGAATTTTTATTTGAATAAGGTTACTGAGACCTAGTGGAATAATTTTATAGGAATATTTGTAGGAAGACTTAATGTATACAACTATGCCATCGTTTTGATTCATATTGCTTAGATTGTACAATATTTCGTAGCCGGGAATGTGAATACAATGCAATCTACTTCACTTGTTATACTATCTAAGAAAATTTTATATTGATCCAAATTTTTTTTTAGTGAAACTTCCATTATTAGAGGTACAATAAAGATCATTTATGTATAAATTAAAAAGTGTTGGTCCTAAAACTGTCCCTAGAGGTACACCACATTTCACATTTCACATTTCACTTTGTTTTCCGTTTATCCTAACACATTGTTGACGACCACTCAAGTAACTGGTCATAAGATTGTTTACTATGCTTCTAAAACCAAAACATTTCAGTGTGTTGATAGTTGAGTGTGGTCAACCGTATCAAAGGCTTTAGCTAAATCAATAAAAATACCAATTGTGGGTAATTTTTTGTCTATATGATTTTATATTTCGGATGTAAACCTTAGCAATTATATCTTGCGTTGATTTATTTGTTCTAAAACCAAATTGTTTATCTGAGAGTAAATTAAATTATGCCAAATACTTATCCATTCTGATTTTTAGGATTTTTTCGAATATTTTTGCTATAGTTGATATTATTGATATAGGCCTATAATTATTAACACTCATCATATCCCCACTCTTAAACAATGGTTTTATTGTAGCCACTTTAAATAGATCTGGAACAGTACCCTTTGTGAAGCATAAATTTATTAACCAAGCTAAGGGAGTTGAAATGTATTTAGCTATTACTTTTAAAGTTTTAGCTCGTATTTCATCGAAACCTGGTGCTTCTTGTTTTTAAGCTTATTTATTATATTAACTACCTCGTTTTAATTGGTTTCATATATATAAATTGACTGACTTGTATTTGTGTTGTAAGTTAGTTTATCTTTGTTTTTATTTTTAATTTTACTTGCTAATTTGGGTCCGATTTCAGTAAAGTGTTCACAAAAAGTATTTGCAATTTTTGATTGATCATCCGTAACTTCTCAGTTCTCTAATTTAATGGAATTCATTTCATTATTTTTGCAATTATTAGAATTTGTTATTTCTTTAATAACCTTCCAGAGTGCCGATGATAAAATTTTCTTTTAGCCGATTTAATTATGTTATCCAGTTGTGTTTGATATTCCTTATAATTCTTTTTGTTTTCATCAGTTGGATTATTTTTCATTATTTTATATAATTCACATTTCTTGTTAGTTGATTCAGAGCTGAGGTACTCAGTACAAAAACGTACTTGAAATAAATAATCAGTATTTTTTTACTTTAAGTATTTTACCTAAAGTATTTATGAACTAACGATACTTTTGGAAATGTACTTATTACATTTGAAAAAAGTACTTGTACTTGTACTTAAATTAACACTTGTGTGGTATTACTTGTTACTTGAAAAATCCAAATCTATTTAAAGTTTTTTCTGAAAACACTTAAGTAATTTTTAACAGTAAGTACTTAAATAAAAAATACTTAAATTACTTTTGAAACTATTTTAAGTACATATTTACTTTAAGTATTTTATTAAAAATACTGCCGCGCCAAACAAGCTAGGACTCGCATTTCATATTACCCGGACAGTAAACAGTACAGTATAGTGACAGTAAACACGCTTAAACAAATCAAATCTTTGTGACACACGACGTCTAACGTGTGCCGATGATGGACTTGTAGTTCACCGATACCTGGTACTATCTCGTTTCTCAATGTTGTGGGCGAAATGCTTGAAGAAATTAATTTTTCACATGCGAAAAAAAACCTGTCTATGACGATATAAAAATGTTTTTTAACAATTATGGAAAAAATACACTCACTTGGATATTAGCTTATCTACGCACAGACTACAAAACGAAAAAGTATGTCATTGCATTCAACCGAACGACTATATTTCATATCCATTTTAGGTAGTGAGAATACTGCAAAAAAATGAAATTCACCAATTACAGTTCATATTTTCGTTAGTGGGTCGTAGAAAAAGTATTCTGTACAACTCGAGTGGATTGTCCATATCGCACTCAGACGATTGAGCACTCTATCATATCCACTCTTGTTGCACAAACTACTATTTCCACACAGCGTGTGGAAAATTCAACTTCCAGCACGCATTTACGGGCGTAAAAAATGTTTTTCCGCACGCAAGTAGGAAAAATATATTTTTCCTACGACCACTTAGGAAAGTGACACATATCACACTATATAGTCCTATGGAAAGTGCCCTATATCACACGCGTATGAATAAGAATTTACTTTCCACCCGAGTGAGAATATGTTACTTTCCGCAGTAGTTGCCACAAAATGTCAAACAGCTAATTTCTATTTTGATCTATGTAATATCCATATTAATACCTACTAAAATCGATATGATTGTTAAATTATTGAAATTGTTGTAAATTAGATCCTAGATATTTATATTTAACAATTATTATTAAAATAATTTTAAAATAATGTTTGCTCTTTATTCTGGTTAAATACATAACCGATTAGATCATTCAATTGACACAAGGGCTATTAGCTCAGTTGGTTAGGACATCGAACTTATCAACTTTGCCATTTTTCGACCGCGTTCAGTCTATGGTTCAAATCCTGGCGGAGCAGAATTTTTTGTTTTTTTTTTTTTTTATTTTTTTTTAGTTTTTTTTTGTTTAGAAAATATGAAAATTAAATAAATACGATTATTGTTGATTATTTTTTTTAAATACATTTTACTTATTATAGTAATAATAACCTTGGTTTTACATTTTTTTTGATGACATTATTTTGTGGTCGTAGGAAAAATATTGTACATCACTTGTGTGAAAAGTGATTTTCCACACTCGTAATGTAATATACTATTTAGTGACACATATCACACTATATAGTCCTATGGAAAGTGCCCTATATCACACGCGTATAAATAATAATTTACTTTCCACCCGTGTACGAATATGCTACTTTCCGCAGTAGCTGTCAGAAAATGTCAAACACATAATTTCTATTTTGATCTATGTAATGTCCATATTAATACTAAAATCGATATGATTGTTAAATTATTGAAATTGTTGTAAATTGGATCCTAGATATTTATCTTTAACAATTATTATTAAAATAATTTTAAAATAACTAAGATTTATGTTTGCTCTTTATTCTGGTTAAATACATAACCGATTAGATCATTCAGTCCATGCAAGAGGGCTATTAGCTCAGATGGTTAGAACGTCGAACTTATCAACTTTGCCATTTGAGACCGGGCGAGCGACCGAGTTCAAATACTGGCGGGGCTAGAATTTTTTTTTTGTTTTTTTTTATTTTTTTTTTTAGTTTATTTTTAGTTTTTTTTTGTTTAGAAAATATGAAAATTGAATAAATACGATTATTGTTGATTATTTTTTTAAATACATTTTAATTATTATAGTAATAATAACCTGGTTTAACATTTTTTGATGACAATTTTGTGGTCGTAGGAAAAATATTGTACATCACTTGTGTGAAAAGTGATTTTCCACACTCGTAATGTAATATACTATTTTGCAGAATTCTATAATTTTTTCTATAAAAACAAGAATCTTAATCGGTTTACTTCGAGGGTAAACCGCGTTATGGTATGGTACTTTTAATTATTGTTTACATTTAATTATTGTTTACATTTAATATCTACAACTTATAAAAATCATGGAAGTTGAGCATGATTTATTTGAGGCGACTT